TAATTTTCACTGAAAAAACTTTTATATGGACTTTATTTTCACTGGTTTTTGATGAGTTGAATAAGAAATATAAGAAAAGGTATTTTTACCGAATCATCCCTTCAGTGAAAATAGCAAAAATAAAGTATTTTACAGTAATATGTCACATAACGCAACTATACTGTAAATATATAATATATATATAGTTGACATTTGATACTCCAAATATTTGATTTAATTTGAGGTCATCTACAACAATATAATTTAAGTTTTTAAAAAAATATTCAGAAAACCATTTGACCAATACTGAGATTTTGGTGTCACTACAGATAATAGTAATTTTGAAATTATTTGAGCATTGTCCAAAAAGCTTACAAATGTTGAAAATAAAAAATCACAATCTTTCATTTGAACTAATAATTTTCATTCATTAATATTTTATGAATAATTTTTCATTGAATGGTTGAACTGGTTACTAGTGTCAACACATTAGAACCATGTGGTTAGATTGAATGCACTTTTCCCATAGGTTTATCAGTTACGCGATGTACATGCATGTGATGTGACCATCTTATCAACTTTCTGGCAGGTAACATTAACAATCATCAAGTCTTATCACTACAATGACACCACCCTTGTTGATATTTAGTCACAATTAACAAGGCATCAATGCTATAGTTAATTCGTTTTGCAGACACGGAATTGAAATAAGCGTAATCACTAAAATTGCTTAATCAAAATCACTAAAAACACATACATTATCTAAAGTAAGTGTTGATTAGAGCAATAGCACTGTCAATGAACTTAGCTCTATATCGGCAGCCAGTCAGTAAACATGGTTTGACAAACACATGTGATATGACAAATAAGTTCAACGCAAACAATAGCAAGTGTCTGTTTAGATTTAAACTTCAGTTCTAAATATATTTTGTTTATTTCATCAATTGAACTTAGTACATTGTGTGTATCAAAATGTAACAAATCATCACCATGGAAACATGACTGGATTAAATGTGAACAAAACAACCTGACAAACATGTATATTCTGGCCAAATATTAATGCTATTTCCATTGTAAGCTTCAGATGAAGGCTTATTAAAACAAGCCATGCATGCATGGCACAGTCCCAGTTAGTTATCAAATTCAAGATATATAGTTTTGTTTATAATAATATATATTTGGAGCATAAATATTTCAGAGATATGGATTCAGAAGCTGATGCTTGATTATGATGATTTTTTAACATTAAAATGATTGAATTGTCCATATTGAGAAATATTGCTCTGGAACAGCATTAATTGAAACAAAATGGCCACCGGTCAGCCATTTTGAATACATCTAAATATCTATAACATGATGTATAACGAATATATAAAATTTGAACATATCAGTCAAAGCATGTCAGATATATGGCTTGAGAAGCGCATTCATTAAAACAAAATGGCCGCCAGTCAGCTATTTTGAATATGATCTGAAAAATAAAATGATGAGCATCAGGAACCCCAATGTCTAATGTATGTACCAAGTTTGAACAAAATCCACCCATAAAAGCCAAGATCCCTTTCTGGAATGCCAGAAATGCTTGATTTTTGATCATTGTTTAGACAAAAATGGCTGCCAATATTTGGCCATTTTGAATCAGATAGTCAAACCAATATATCTATGTCAAAATGTATAATGAATATATAAAATTTGAACATAATCAGTCAAAGCATGGCAGAGAAGTGCATTCAAAAAAACAAAATGGCCATTTTAAATTTGATCTGAAAAATAAAATGACGTGCATCAGTGTCCTACGTATGTACCAAGAATAAAATCCATAAATGCTTGATTTAGATGATTTGACCATCTTAAATCAGATCGTGAAACAAAATGATGTGCATATGTATAATATTATGTAAGATGTATGTGTGAAGTTTGAATGTGATTGGTCCAGGCATGTCGAAGATACAGGTCCGAAAGCACACACGCACGGACACACAAAAGTCAATCCATAAGTCCCCGTTTTCGAACTGTGTCCGAACAGGGACTGTTAAAAGTTTGTTTCACTCCATAGACCACCAATTTAAAAGATTCAGTGGGTGATAGTTTACTTATATTCAAAATTACAGTGCCCTCAATATAGTTCTGATGTCAGGGTAGAATGTCTTCATCAAAACAAATGTTTTCTATGATGAGATATTAGCTAATTGCCATGGTTGTTTGCGTTCCTACAATGTATATGGTTGTTGCCATGGCAATTACAATTGTTATCTGGATACAAAAATGACAGATGTGCACCCATGATACCTACATTGAACATATCAAAGCAACTGAGCTGGTAATTTTCAAGTTTGTACATTTTTCACCAAAATAGACAAAACTAATCATCATATCCCAATTACCACATTCCTATTATTATTCCTATCATGTCCCTATTATAGAGCTGACCATCATATCCAAATCATTACATCTCTACAAAGATTTTTTTGTCAAGAAAGTTTCTTCTTAATTTTTTCATCCCCTTTAATGGGAATTCACCAGGAAAAAAACAATGGTCTTTCAATCCAAATGAGACATCCAACAGAAGGCCTCAAAACAAGTTTATACTGCGGAGTGAGCAGTCAACTTATTTCTTCTGTGCTTAAAAACTCAATAACCCAAAGTGTGCATGGTGCAAGTTTGGTATTTACTTACAGATAAACGTCTGCGCTGTGAAATTATCATATATAGTATATATTAAGCAAAATTCAAATAAAACAGTAAACAGTGCCAAGTCTAATGTGGTATGCATCAACCCTGAATATGGTAATGTTATACTGATGGAGTTGTGATATTCCTAAATGATGCAGTATTATGCAATCTTTATGAAGTGCATTCACTGTGACAACTAAGTTTAGAGCAAACTATGAATACTGTAAATTGATTTCTCTATTTCAACACTAGAGGGCGTAAGCATGCATTGAAAAGTGTATTGGTGCATTTTATTTGCTCTTAGGCAACCTCTTAATCATTGGATAGTAATTAATTGGTACAATGGCTGTTACATCACAAACATTGATGCAAGCTAGAGGCAAAAGATGTTCGTCTCTGGATGCAATGGAACAAAGACATCACAGCAATGAATGACAATTACGTACATTTTAGTGTTTATAGTAACGAAAAGGAAATTTGTTATCACATGTATCATGTCTGTTTTCAAGTGATACAATTCAGTGGATATTTTTTATATCCTACCCTTGATATACAATAGGCTGTTAATGATCTGATTGGTGATGTCATCTACAAAATGTCAAAACATGATATATTATATTTTAAATAATTGATATACCAATAATTTTAGCGATTCACCAAGGTGCATTTTGTTGTCAATGTCGCAGATTTTGCAGTTTATAATTCTCACAACCTCAATTTAGCAGCACACAGAATTCATTTTCCTGATGAACCATTCACTAAATTCTCGTAACAAGTGTGAAAAGCTGCCGATTACTTGATACCAATGTGCTTCTCAAAAAAAAATTGTTCAGAGGTGTCTATAAATTGTCGGTGAACTTTAGTATTCAAGGAATGACATTCCTGTATGCAGATGAGATACAGAACATAAATTTGACATGCTCACATAGCGACATAAGCTGCAAAATATTTGGGATAAACTGGATGTCCAAGACCTGATTGTGTGATATATCCAATTTATTTACATGAAAATTACTACCCGGGTTCTAATATCACAGTCATTGGACATGCTCTATCTAATGAAATGTAATGATATATATTATAGTGTTGAAAATAGAAACTATAGCCACACAAACTTTCAGAGAGTGTTGGCAGGCAAACTTTTTAATTTTGAAGACAATTTTAAAATTACTGCAAGCTCCTCTATGCAAGTCAGTTACATCAATTAATTGTAGTTAAATATTATGGTCTCTTTTATCACAGGCATTCAGTAGTGCAAAACGGACTAATGATATTGAGTAATGTTATCTGATATGTGATGAACTCAGTAACAAAAGTGATGCTTGCTAATGAGAACCATAATACTACATAATCTTTGTTCACATTCAGTTTTACAATTTTTTCAGATTTCTACTCCAATAATGAAAATAAGCCAAGTCTCAGCAGTGATTAGTACACTAACTATGGCAAAAATAAATGGTACAACATCTCCTTCAACAATGATTGATATAGTATCTATGGCAACAGTAATTATTACAGTAACTATCATATGACAACTGTGATTGGTACAATAAGTACATTAACAGTGTATGGTATAGTAACTATGGCAACTGAGATTGGTACAGTAACTACATGAACAGTGCTTGAACAGTAACTATGAAAACAGTGATTGATACTCACAGCCAACTCCCTGGCCCCGGTTTCTTCATTGACACATGGCCACCATCCTTTCACACGTTTCTGTTCAAACAAGGACACCATGTTTTTTGAATTCCCTTGTGCATCTGGCAACATACTCATCTTACATTTTCCAGAGCTTTTGGCAGGTTTTGGCATATGATTCATGTTTAACTCTAATGTACCTAGAAACACAAATAGTTTTAGTATTAGCAATATCATCTCAATGTGTAATATAGCAGTCCCATTTTTCATTTTTGTATCATTTTGAATTTCTATCCATATACAGAATTTTATATTGTTCAGATTTGTTATCAATGATTTAAAATTCTGATTAAAATTTAGGAAAAACAGGAAGATTTTCAATGGAAAAAACTGTTCAGGAAAGGATTAAGGGGTAAAGTTGACAATGGCTGTTATGAACAGGAACTGCATGCTCCAGTATGTGAAGTATTAAATATAGAAATGGATTAATTTCAAAACTATTGTAGGAAGTCAACAAAAGATTCATTTCTGATCCAGGCATGTTTACTTGTATTGAAATGAACACATCTAAGTGAGGTCTACCCAAGCTACACATACACCATAGTAAAAAGTTGACACGAATGACAATGACGTACACGATAAACAATCACTAGTATGAGAAGCTCTGCTTGACAAAGTCAATAGTGAAGCTAAAAAAACAAGCTGAAATAGTGTGTAAATTAGAATAGTATAAACTGTACTTAGTTTCAAAATACGGATACTAATTAATATACACAGAAGAAGCTGTTAACAGACATTGATCTACACAAAGCAAAATGTACAAAATTTGATCTACTGTCGAAAGGGTTAAAGTAATTCGTTTTCTGCACTAAAATTAAAATTCATGAACATTTCGTTTAGAGGTTATTTATTTTTATTTCGCCACTGGGGGCGCTGTATTTTGTATTACCGCCGATGTACACAACACACCACTCGCATTCACGTCATTCAAACAGTGACAAACAATGTTCTGGGGTGGTAGTATTCATTTAATGTTTTTATTTTATTGTTAAAATATGTATTTACAGTCAATAAATATTTTTTAACAGAAATAGTAGCTAAAAACTTAAAAATAATTGTCTGAAATCTGAACCCTAAGAGTGACAGCACCGAAAGTTTTTAAAAACAAGTTCAGACATGATGTTTTCCTTTTGAATGTTATACTAGTAACACAAGACTAGTGAATGAAAATTTTATATATTCATCTGAATTCTGGTTTTAAAAATGAGACATTTTTGAACAACAGCAATATTCATATGACTGTCAACTTATTGCACATGTTTGCGAAGTGGCTTCAGTGCATCTGTAATGCCAGCAATGTGTGTGTACACAACTCTCGGCAACTTTCAATGGACTGCAATGGCTTCAACTAACCATTTAGCATGAAGTGGTTTTTAATTTTGAAAGACAAAGATTGACTTTGACATCGAAGTACCACGATTGAACGTTAGATTTCAGCGAATCCTTGAAAGGTTTGTTGACGGTATGTAGTCGATCGGTACAACAAACACAGTAGCAATTTTGTTGTCGTGTAGTTTAATTTTTCAAAAAATCTTCACGTCGATGTGCTCTGAATACATCAAATAATGCCATGGGTTTTTGTTTTTCAGGTAACCTCAGCTTCTGGTGTGTCGATGTCACATACGGAATGATAACAGTGTCTGAATACTGATGCATAGTTTTCCATATTTTTTACTTAGCAAAATGGCGGTCACACTGAGTGTGAACTGCTGTAATAATAGCGATAATCCTTGGACCTGTGTTGGCATTGAATAATAAATGCTCTTTGTTCTTATTAGTCCCCGTTCAGACGCAGTCCGAAAACAGGGACTTATGTTTTGCCCTGTGTGCGTCCGTCCGTGTGTCCGTGCGTCCGTGATCACCTGTATCTCGAACATGCATGGACCGATTAAGTTCAAACTTCACTCATACATCACACATTATATGAGACATATGCACATGCATTTTTTTCATGATCCGATTAACGATAGCCGAATAGCGGCCATTT